GTACTAAATAATCTGATAGGTCCAGTTTGATTCTGCTGATTTGGTACTGCTAGCTTAATAGAGGTTTATAATGAATATTTTTATTTTTTATAGTCTTGAATTTAACATTAATTGATTTACCTGGACTTACAAAAATACCAATCGGAGATCAGCCAGCAGATATAGAGGCTCAAATTAAAGGCATGATATTTCAGTTTATCAAACGTGAAAATTGTCTTATATTGGCAGTTACCCCAGCCAACACTGATTTGGCTAACAGCGATGCTCTTAGACTCACTAAGGAGGTGGATCCACAAGGTATTTGATAAATATAGCGAATAGGGGACCCAGCCCCAATGACCTTGACCTTGACATATGTTATCAAGGACATAATTCTGAGTAACTTTTTCTTCTAAGCACACACACGGTGGCGGGGTGGTGCAAAGGGGGCCTTCAGCCCTCCTCCCGCACCCACTCCGCCGGTAAGCAGGGTGGACCTCGCTTTACAACTTACCAAGTACATGCTACATTGTAAAGCGAGGTCCACCCTGCCTACCGGCGAGGCGGATGCGGGGGGGGGGGGGGGGGGGCGGGGGGCGGGAGCGGGAGGTGGACCGAAGGCCCCCTTTAACCCCCCCGTGTGTGTGTGTGTGAGCGCGCGCGCGCGCGTTTTTCCTGTCCGTGCATGTACTTTGGTATATATTTTAAACTTTTTTTGTTAATAACTTTTTAATAAGCAACGAGCGACGATTAAATTAGAAGAAAAAGTTACTCAGAATTATGTCCTTGACAACATATGTCAAGGTCAAGGTCATTGGGGCTGGGTCCCCTATTCGCTATATTTACCAGGTATTTAATCAACGTAATTGTGTTGTTATTAATATCTCTTTAAATTGAAAATATTAATTTAACGTATAATACTCTAAGGTGTACGTACAATTGGTGTCATTACTAAGTTGGATCTCATGGACGATGATACTGATGCAAGAGATATTTTGGAAAATAAATTATTACTGTTGAGAAGAGGTTACATTGGTGTAGTCAATAGAAGTCAGAAAGATATAGAAGGACGAAAGGATATAAAAAATGCTCTAGCTGCTGAGCGAAAGTTCTTCCTCAGGTACACAAACAGTTGTGGAAATAATTTCTATGAATGACTATTCTTTTTCTTCTTTTTTCTGTTTTTTGACAATACATAATTTTTGTTTTACTTTTTAGTCATCCGTCTTATCGTCATCTAGCAGACAGGTTGGGTACGCCATATTTGCAGAAAGTTTTGAATCAGCAGTTAACAAACCATATCAGGGATACCTTGCCAGCTCTAAGAGATAGATTACAAAAGCAGCTGTTAACTTTAGAGAAGGATGTCAAGCAGTATAAACATTTCAGACCTGATGATCCTACAATCAAAACAAAGGCTATGTTACAGTAAGTGAATTTAGAATTTTACATGCTGGTTTACAGTTACAATTATCCAATATTCTTCTTCCATTCATAAAATGTGTTTATAAAAATGATAGATACATATCTTATAGCAGAATATATCACACATAGATTTACATGTTTATAAAATATTAAAATTCTTTCAATGAATGTGTGCATTATATTTCATGTTTTTGATAAAATAACAACTATGCAAATATAACCATAATTTCTATTTATCTTTTTGTTCCTTATACTTTTTATATTGTGGGTGGAGTGTCTCGAAGTTTTAGATCATTTGACTTTTGTTTTTCAGATCAATTCAAATGTATATGTAGGTATCTTTGTTTCCTCTTTTAGTTTCCTTTAACAAGAATAGTGTGCCACACATTTGCATGAAATCAGTTAACAAACCATATCAGGGATACCTTGCCAGCTCTAAGAGATAGATTACAAAAGCAGCTGTTAACTTTAGAGAAGGATGTCAAGCAGTATAAACATTTCAGACCTGATGATCCTACAATCAAAACAAAGGCTATGTTACAGTAAGTGAATTTAGAATTTTGCAGTATGCTGGTTTACAGTTACAGTTACCCAATGTTCATCTTCCATTCATAAAATGTGTATTGTAAAAATGATAGATAGATATACAGGGTGTCCCCAATTTAAATGTCAAAACTTTAGGAGCGTGTAGGGGACCGATAAACTAAAACAAAAAGTCCTTTAGAGATTTGCTCGTTTTTGCTTCGTTTTGAAGAAAAACGCAAAAAATGAAACAAATAATTTTCACCAAAAAACTTAAAACAACACTAAAATTATTAGATTTATCAAAAAGTATTATAAAATAAAAATTGTAGAACATGGAATTAAGAAAAGAGAGTGAGTTAAAATTTACCTCCTGAGGTAAAATTAGATTAGAAACAAAATTTCGCGTTATCGCGATTAGAGGATTGTAGATAAATACGCAACAACGCGAAATTTTGTTTCTAATCTAATTTTACCTCAGAAGGATTTTAACTTACTCTCTTTTCTTAATTCCACAATTTTTATTTTATGATACTTTTTGATAAATCTGATAATTTTAGTGTTGTTTTAAGTTTTTTGGTGAAAATTATTTGTTTCATTTTTTGCGATTTTCTTCAAAACGAAGCAAAAACGAGCAGATCTCTAAAGGACTTTTTGTCTTAGTTTATCGATCCCCTACACGCTCCTAAAGCTTTGACATTTCCCCTACACGCTCCTAAAGTTTCGACATTTAAATTGGGGACACTCTGTATATCTTATAGCAGAATATATCACATATATATCTACATGTTTATGTAATATTAAAATTCTTTCAATGAATGTGTGCATTATATTTCATATTTTTATCATAAAATAACAACTATGCAAATCAAACCATAATTTCTATTTATCTTTTTGTTCCTGATACTTTCTATATTGTGGATGGAGTGTCTTAAAGTTTTAGATCATTTGGCTTTTGTTTCTCAATTCAAATGTATATATATATATATATATATATATATATATATATATATATATATATATATATATATATATATATATATATATATATATATATATATATATATATATATATATATATATATATATATATATATATATATATATATATATATATATATATATATATATATATATATATATATATATATATATATATATATATATATATATTATTTATGTAATTAATATTATTTTATGATAGATTATATATATTATATTACATAAATTAATAGAAAATTATTTTTAAGGATGATACAACAACTTCGGTCAGATTTTGAGAGAACTATAGAAGGCTCAGGTTCAGCACAAATTAATACTAATGAACTCAGTGGTGGCGCGAAAATTAACAAACTTTTCCACAAGCGTCTCCCGTTTGAAATTGTTAAAATGGAATTTGATGAGAAAGAATTAAGGAGAGAAATTGCTTTTGCCATCAGAAATATACATGGTAAATTTCTTTTAGCTTCATCTAATTTTATACGTGTAAAGTTTGATAAATATCAAATTATTAATAAACATTTTTTTTGACGATAGGTATCAGGGTAGGATTATTCACCCCACATATGGCTTTCGAGCCAATAGTCAAAAAGCAAATAAATAGACTTAAAGAACCAAGTCTCAAATGTGTAGATTTAGTTGTGCAAGAACTTAACAATGTTGTACGCATTTGTACAGATAGGGTAAGTCAAAACATAGTAACAAAATAGTAAAAGATAAAATAACAATGTTTTATATTATTAAACTTAAATAGTGAGAGGTGAGTCATTAATTATACATTTTTTATATGCCGGGGTTTGTGTAAAATTACAGATGTCGCATTATCCTAGACTAAGGGAAGAGACAGAACGTATCATAACGACGCACGTTAAGCAGCGCGAACAAATGTGTAAAGAGAAGTTGATTTTGTTGGTCGATTGTGAGCTCGCATACACTAATCATGAAGATTTTATCGGTTTTGCAAAGTAAGTAATCATTGAACAGTTCAATGTTCTTTATGTGTTATCTTATAGATTTAACTATTATTTTCAGAGATAAAAATAGTCACAGAAATTTTCAGTTTGTTTAATCTGGTATATCTAGTTCCTACATGTCATTTTTGTTACACTTATGTGTGCGCTTGCCACTATATTTTCTTATTTCATATTAAGTTCAATACAGCCACTAAATAGCAAGAACTTTTATGTATAATGTTGTTATTTAGTATTTAGGCGAACTTGTGTATGTTTTAAAAGACTGTTTTAGTTGAAAGGATATTAGCAATATATGAATTCACGTGTATTGCATATTCTAATTTTACAAAAAGTTTCCAATATTTTGCATATCCTATATTGTATTTCTATATTTAATATAATAACAGATATATCCATTTTTAGAAAGTACATTTGTTTTTTATAAAATTTGGAAATGCAGTTGGAAATCCTATATACTAAAAAGTCATTTAATAATTAGATATATAGTAAAAATTTATATGAGTTTAAAATAGACATGTTAAAATAGTTTTAGACTCGAGGCGATAATATAAAGTATGCTTAACGCTTATTAAAAAGTATAGATAATTATAAAGACAATTTGTAAGAATTTATGCAAAAAAAATTAAGACTAAAATTGTTGCAAAACATGATAGAATCATACTACACATGATTGTCACATTTTTTGTTTGCCATTATTTCTTTATTCAAGATATCAACGCATATACTTTCACAGTCCATGCATGTCTTGCTAAAATCAACTCACATAGCGATCTTTGACCACGGCAACATTCTTAACTCGTCCTCCCTTTAAGATTGAAAATTACTCTAGAATTCGACAAGCAAAATAATTTATCTAAGTAAAGAATAGCGGGCTAATTAAGAGCCTGGCACGGTAAATAATGCGCGAAATAATTATTATATATATGTTTCTTGTTTATTGTGAACGTTTTGGTCTGTTCGAAATCGAATATATTTAAGCATTGAACGCACTTGAAGTTGTCGCGCATCGCTGGCGCTCTAGGGCAGCTGTTTGCGTCGCTAAGCGCGTCCGCAGTAAACAACGCGAAAATTGTCCTTTTAGAAAAATCAATAATTTTGCAAATAGCAGGTGACAAAAACCTATTACCGGAAGTTTTAGTAACCAAGCAACTTTTTCGATCTTTCTAGAAGGATAAGATATTATAAAAGGCAGCGCGAAACGCGCACTTCCGCACTTCGATCACAGTCTTCGCCGTGATTATGTTATCAATAACGTAACGTTTTCATCTGTTGCTCGCGGAATTATCTCGTCCGTTGCTCACGGAATAATCTCGTCTGTCGCTCGCAGAATCAATTTTTTATTAAATGTAATTGTCGTTAATTTAATAATTGTGCTTATTAAAAAAATAGTGTTTCTTAATCATTAAAGATTTGAATTTAATATATAAATAATTGTGATTTATTTATTCGTTTCGTCTTCACTTTCGCTAACTGTATTCTTCACGCGCTAATTTACAATTTGTTGCGTAAACATGGTCCTAGTATTTGGACCATCCTCAGCAATTGTAAATACTAAAATTTTGTATTGTTAATTTTTGTATTGGCTCTTAATTAGCCCGCTATTCCTTACTAAGATATTTAATATGAGAGCTTTTCATTTCATATTCAAAATAATTTACCTAGTGCTATTTTTATTCAATTTACACTCTCGTATGATACTATGCTAAAATTATACATAAGTATGTGTTAATCTAATCTCTTCTCCATACATTTGTCTTTGTAATATATTCACTTTAATTAATTTCTATTATTTATCCGTAACTAACACGACTTGACTTGTTTTATTTCTTCTGCTTATACATAAAAACTTTTATTCGAGTACTATATTACTTTCAGTGTTATCTCTAAAGTTGAATACAATTAAAGTCATTTGAAATTTATATAAAATAGTTGATTGTTAAATCAAGAAATGCTAACAATTCATATTAAGTTGGGCGTATACTATCAACTTTTTGTCGATTGACAGTTTCGTCGATCATTAAAAAGCCTAGATTTATTATGAGAGCGCGCATACTTATCGACTTGATATCGACTCGACTAAAAAGTCAAAAGACAGCTCGATTGCTTCTTGACAAAAGTGTCGATCGATTATCAATCAAGCGTGCTATGTTCATCAATCTCTCTTCTGGGGAAATGGCGCATTTAAATTTTGTATCATATTTTCTAATATATGGGCCATTAATGCAAGAAGCGCGTTAAAACTTGATATACTCATCCTATAATACGTAAAGAACTTTTCAGGATACATTTCTAGATCTGAATGTAACATGTGAAATTTTTCTTTTAATAATTATTTGTTTTTTTACACTAATTTATTTGTCTCATTATTTTGTACATAAAAGTATTACGGTAAGATTATCGAAAACTAAATATTTTATGAGATATTTTACTTTTTATATTAAAATATATCAGATTAAGAAATAAAATAACTCGAAAAATACTTAATGAAAAAATACTTTATTATAGTGTTTTGAAAAGGTCTCGAGATAAGCTACAAGAATATGTAATGAAAAATGGGGAGTCCCGTTTAAGAAAACATCGATCACATTGACCTCACCTTGAAAAGGTTACTCAAGGTCAAGCCCATTGTTTCATCATGTGGCCTCCTCGAAACCATGTAACTTTTATTTGAAACTTTCTTTTCAAAATTGCATAGTTTACAAGATATTCGACTGCATCCAGACTTTTGGCCCACCCTGTATATTAAAAAAATATATAAAAAAAGATCGCCACTAAAATAAAAATCAACTGAGCTAAGAATGTAACATATGCAAATGCAATTTCTTCCTTTTTGATAATGTGTGAAACTACTTCTTTAACATGAATTGTTATCATTTCTTGATATAACAATCAACTGTTTTATATAAATTTCAAATGACTTTAATTGTATTCAACTTTAGAGATAACACTGAGAGTAATATAGTACTCGATTAAAAGTTCTTATGTATAAGCAGAACAAATAAAACAAGTCAAGTTGTGTTAGTTACGGATAAATAACAGAAATTAATTAAGGTGAACATATTACAAATGCAAATGTATGGAGAAGAGATTAGATTAGCACATACTTATACTCCGTCCAGCGAGAGAATGACCTCGGGTCGGACAAAAACTCGTCCGTTTCGCGCAGGTCTCCACCCATAGAAGCCGTATCTACGTATACGATATTGAGTACCTCGCTATGTTCTCCCCACTTTGCCCGCCTATGCGCAGGCCGAGGTCATTCTCTCGCTGGACGGAGTATATGTATGATTTTAGCATAGTGTCATACGAGAGTGTAAATTGAATAAAAATAACACTAGGTAAATTATTTTGAATATAAAATGAAAGGCGCTGATATATTAAATATCTAAGTAAAGAATAGCGGGCTAATTAAGAGTCAATACAGAAATTATCAATACAAAATTTTTTATTTGCAATTGCTGAGGATGGTCCAAATACTAGGACCAAAACGTTCATAATAAACAAGAAACATATATATAATAATTATTTCGCGCATTATTTACCGCGCCAGCAGTGCGATTCTGTAACTCGGTATATTTTTAGCAACATGGAACGGTATGGTAACGATACCGACTTTTGTTGCATGTAACGAGACACCTATAACGACTGTGCGATTCCATAACTGTCAATAACGATATTTTGACGCTACATACCGTGATAACGAAACGGCGCTATTTCACATTATCGTTATGCGTCTAAAGGTGACATTTCATGGGCATCACCAAATCGATGCTAGTAAGTTAACCGGTAATTGGATCGATTTTAGTAACTAAAATTCTGCTGCTGCTCATTGCTCATGAAATATCAGTTTAAGCAATGAGAAAGTCACATGTACATCTTACCTTGTAATATAGGGAGCGGTGCACTTGGACACAGTACAATTGGACACGGTGCAAATGGACACGTTGCAAATGGACACGAAACTTTGCACACGGCTAAAAATGCACACCGTTCAGTTGCACACCGTTCAGTTGCACATTGCTCAGTTGCACACCGTTCAGTTGCACACCGCTCAATTGCACACCATTGGTCGGGTTACGACACACCGTTAATTTGCCCACCGTAGTTGTAAAGCGAGGGTGCGTGCGTGCGTGCGTGCGTGCGTGCAAATTCTCGTCATTTGCGGGAGGTTTTAATTTTCTGCTTCAATATGAAGAAATCTGCAGCTGAGGCTCATTCGTTATGATTTGGACCGCTCTGGATACGTGCTGAGGATTTCGTCTCTCCGTGGCAATCGGCACTGCATCCATTGAGCGAGATTCCAACATCGCACACCTAATACACAACTTATATGATGCAAATACATAACAATTTTGGCGACGAGGACAAAGGAACGCGCGAAAAGTAAAAGCAGTGCAAATCGTAAACGGAAGGATAATGATAACGAAACGCGGTAACAGTGCTATATGCCAAATAAAGATAGATAAAAGTTAGGCAGGGGTCACACGGAAAGTAAGTTGAATCTACCAGCTATCAAAGCAAGATGTTGTAAAATATTTAAAAGTAAACGGAGAGCAGGTAGATGAAAAACTATTAATAGATGATCATCGAAAAGCGCTTAGTAAAATAGTGAAAGGAAAAGGATTTCATCCAAAAATAGAGGCAGCATAGAAAAACTGACACGGAGACTACGAGAGAGGCAAGCAGCTCCGCTAATTCAGCAGAAGAGAGAAGCATATCGCGAAACACACGAAAAGAAGAGAGAAATTGCGAAATGGCATGCAATACGAAATTGGAATTCAAGATTGGGGACGACTGGGATATGTATATTGAAAGGTTAGAATTCTATTTCATAGCGAAAAGTATACCTGCAGAACTACAAACAGCAGAACTCCTCATGAGAGTAAGCCCTCATGCCTATATACTAATTCGAGATTTATGCGCTCCAAGTAAAGCCTAAGGACAAAGCACTCGGAGATTTAATCAAGATAGTACAGGAACACATTTATCCG